TTACCGATTCCGGTAATTTTAAATGGGGCCTCCTAAGACCCTTAAGCTATCTAATAAAAATTTAGAATTATTTTTTTCCAAAAAAACAGTAAATTACTTCTGAGTGCAAAATGTGTAGCAATTCCCAAGGGTGGGTCTACATTTGTGATTATCAACGTACAGGACTGTTCCTGTACGACTGATTCGCAAGATAATGTTTGATGGCTTGTTTGCACGTAGTTGATACCACGAAGTCCTGTATGTAGAAAATGTCACTGGCCACCTGTTATTTCTTAGTTTATAATTCTTAGATGTCTTTGACATATTGATTTTTCACATACAATTATACTTCATTGGCAATGCTTATCATAGCGTGCGATGATATTCGTGGATTCAAAACAAAAACGCAGGAATAAACTTGTCAATTTTTAAAAGTTAATATTTTATATAAAATAAATGTATTAAAGAGTTACAAGTAAAATATATAAATAGAATGTATGTATGTATCGATGGTATACAACTATAAATTCTAAGTTAAATAATGCCCCGTATTGAATAAGTTATCGTTAAATTGTATGCAAACCAATGAAAACAAAAATAAAGTGGTGACATTTATTACCTTTTGTATTATAGTTAAATAATATATATATGCTAAGCAAACTTTTAATAATTTTTCTTCCAACAATTTCGCTATCATATTTAGCCTACTCATATCCCTAGATAGTTCTACCTGTTAATAAATATTATCAGTACAATCATATATCTACCTAAAACATTATCAGTACAATGGCGTCTTGATGAATCAATGACGATGGCATATTTTTTTGTTACTTTGTAGTATAGTGCCAACAACTATATCAACAAAGCTGATATTGAAACGCCATTGAGTTGCCATAATTATATTAATATTATTAAATTAAACCCCTCGCTCGATGGTGCCATAATTAAGCGCGATCGAGACATTCTAACGGATATCAGTAGTGTCCGCTGCGTCCATAGTCACAATATGAATCCGCCCTTAGGATAATAAACCAGCGGCATTATTTAATACAACACTCGCTATCGGTATCGATTCCGATATGATACAAACCTGATAGAATAACTAAGTCATTCATAAACAAGTGTGCCTATAAATAACATTGTCACTGATTATAAGTGAAATGGCATATTAAAAAAAAAATATACATCGCAGTTAAACATATAACCTCCTCCTTTTCGATTTTAAAGTCGGTTAAAAAAGAAAAAAAGGTGAAAGAAAAAGAAATTGATAAATGTTAATAATAATGTGAAATAATAAACGTTTGTGAAATACTACTTTTCCTGTATCTGTGGTAAGTAGAAAAGTTACTTATTTAATGCAATGATATTAATATACAGAATTACGTTTGAGCGTAGCTTATGTAAAACCCCTATTAAGCTCTATTAGAGCTTATTGAAATAAGGTTGATAATTTTCTAGTATTTTGCACTATCTGTTATGGTTTAAGTAATGTTTACATAAACGTTATATTTTTAACATTTTCGATATTGATGATATAAGTATATAAAATCAAATGGCACTTAATCCTTTTTTTCAATGTCCTCATTAGACTCATTTTGTCAGAAAAATAAAATACCTAAAGTGACCAAATTACGGAAACCACGAAGATAACATAATACAGTCAATGAGACCTTTCTAAAAATTGTAATTTTATAAGGAGATGGTGGATTAGCGCCGCGGCCCGTGATCGTAGTCGTTAAGCAACTTTCGCAAGGGTCGGTCACGGGATGGGTGACCAAAAAATTATTATCTCGAGCTACTCCGTGCTGGCACGTTAAGCCGTTGGTCTTGGCTGCATTTGCAGTCGTTAATACCCTCCAATCCGCATTGGGCCAGCGTGGAGGGTCATGGCCCATCCTCCTTAACCATCCATAAGGAAGGCCTGAACCCCTGCAGTGGGAACATAAAAGGGCTGATGATGTCTATGCTATATAGACATCTCCGAGGTCGTCTAAGTCCCAACGAAAGTAAGGTGTTAAATAAGTTTTATGCAAATCTAATCAGTAAGCTGTCTATTAATGTCCAAATGAAGGTAGAAGGTATGCATCATTATTTTAAGATGACCAACATCTAATATAAGCTATAAAAGGAACCAAAAATCTGGAAAAGTAGTAATTTATAAAAATACACGAAATAAAACATTTTGTGTCTGTTATTTTGCGATATTTAAATAAACTAAAGATTGTCTCTATTATTTAAAATAAGTATACATTAAATGATGATGTCATTACACACGTAACCCTAAGCTGTCACCGTTAAACTCAAAACCCGCACAAGGCAACCCCACATCAGTCTTTACAACGAAAGTATCGGTACACATCTACAAGTAAACTAGTAGTTACCGCGAACAAACAACCAATTAAGGATATAACGCCGTAATCTAGCGCAATTACTTTAATTACATTTATCTAATGACAATTGATTACAAAAAAAAAATCTAAGGTCGAGATTACCGCTTTAATAGTTATTAATCACGACATGTCTTTTATGACTACGAGAAATGCAATTTTGCTCATTCAATCATCTATGTGCACAGAAATAATTTTCAATTACATTGTATGAACGGGTTAAGGATTAAATCGTGTAGCTTATTATCATAACTACGGCTATTTATAAATGTCAACACTAATAATATAGGATTTGTATTGTATTACTTTTTATACTTCCATGCTTATAAAAAACGCAATGCTTGATATATTCAATTACCGTACTAAGTAGAGCGATTTTTATTTAAAATAGGAAGTAAAATTAAAATTACCTTTCCATCACATATTCCAAGGTTTTCTGCATACAGTAGAGAAATTCACAGAGTTTCTACTTACCGTTGTACCTCCGGCATATGTAATCGAATTTAAACTCAATTAATCAATATGTTAAGGCTTAAAACTTCTTATACGCAATTGTACAATCTAGTGTGCTATGATTTTATTGAAATAAATACACGCATATTGTGAAAACAAAGAATACACGTTAATACACGTAACGTAGGGGAAGTCCGAGAGACTTGAACCTCTTTTTACTTGAATTATCATATCTTCGTATAGATTTGTCGTAGAGACTAGATTATAATTTTAATTCATGTGTAATTCATATAGACTTGTTTTTGCATCATTACTTTTTAAATATTTCAAAAATGTAAATTGCTAAGCTGATTTGAAGTAAAAATGGGAAATGGATCAACTCTCCCCACTATGAGGGACATATGATCAAAAGTCTGAGGAAATTCATTATCAGGGGTTTTAGTAATTTCTGTTTATTTTTTTTTAGTATCATCTTTCTATTAGAGTCTTTTACGTAGTTTTGCTTTTATATATTTATTATTTGGAATTGATACTTATCGTTTTTCTCAAAAATTATAAAAACTATTCTAAATGTTATTTGCCTTCTGTTCACTTGTTTTATTAACATTTATAATATTGAATTGAGTGCAAGTAGTATTATGGCAGAAAAATCATCACCACAGATGGTATAATTAACCATTGATTTCAACAAGAACAGTGGTTCAACTCTCCCGCATACATCACTTCGACATAAAATTTTAATTGCAGAAAAGGTATTCAATTACTGTTAAAAAATATTTCAATCTAGAATAATCAGCAAACACGATAAAAATAATTTACAATACTTACATCGATAAACACGGCCAGTATCTCAAAACTACTAATTATTTAGAATTTATTTTGTAGTGACCAAAACACTTTTCGCAACTTAAAAGCTAAACAAACCAGACATTTTGTGCAATAGTGACACAAACATTATTGGTCTTCCATACATGATCTACGACTGTGTTAAGTCTCCGGACTCCCCCTATCATATGAATTTAAGAAACTACTCTTCTTTCCACTCTTATAATTGCATTTTTAATTATAAACTTTTTGTCAGTTTCTTTTAAGCATAATAAAATAGACTGGTTCTCAAACTTGTTTCGGCTACTTTAAGAATAAAAAGACTTGTGCCCCAACCAAAGTTTTTATTACGGAAAAGAAATATAACGCAAGAGACAATAATAAAAATGATATCCTAAATTGAACCAATCGGCACTCTAATCCTGGTACTACTATGACAACAGAGTTTACGAACGCAACCCTTCCGAATACGGTCGGTAACTTATAGTGATTGTAAGTCAATAATCATTGCAAGTCCCTTTACAGTTAGGTATATTGTTATTTATTAGGCGTGTACTGAGTACAACTGTCAAATTAGCGATATTCATAAATCTACTAATGATCGAGTTTGACAGCTCGGTCAGTGAACTCTACGATCGCTACCAATGTCAAAATTGCATGCCCTAGGACCCCAGATATAGCCGACCGGCGCGCAAGTCACACCACGGAAGGCCTCCGATATTCTATTAATAACTGTATGAGTAATGACGTTCCAAAATTATCAGTAGTGTTGTAAAACGAGCAGATAAGATGCGAAGTAAAATCAGATATCTGTCGTCTATAACTAATAATTTTGTATTTATGAACGTTTTACTCCTTACATCTCACGTTGGACTTTGTAATGCACATAAATAAAGTGTGGTGTAATAACTGTGGGTAATATGATATCGGAATCTCAAGAGAGATGTAGTCGGGCCGCGATAAAGGAGTCTTAATGTCACCAACAAAAGTAACAATTACACGAAAACAATTGAATTTCACGCATGCGTCCATATGAAGATAGAAAAAATTTAGTACATGCAAATTACGATAATATACAATAGCATCATGCATGCAAAATTTATTGCATTGTATATTATGCATACAAGAAGTTATTTTTAGAAAAGTTTATTTATTAAATTATTTATTTTAAAAAAAAGTAAAAAAATCACTTTTGTTATTTTCTATAGAGTTGTTCTAAATTTTCGAGTTAAATACAATTGCTCGAATATTATTCGTAAACTTGTGGAGCCAACTTAAGTGTGGCAGTTTTCCTTTTAACTTTGTTATAAATATAGGTTTAGTTTTTAGAGGGGGAACGGCCGGATGGAAGGACAGATGGACATAGTAAAACTATAAGAGTTCCTTGTTTACTACAGAACCCTAAAAATGGAGTTATCAATGTCATGAAATGACAATGACATGAAACTTATATATAATTATTTTAATAACCGTGTTTTCTCTTTCAGATTTCTTCCCGCAAGAGCAGTACCAAAAGTACAATCAAATGGGTATCTCCGAGGCTCAAAAAGACGATTCCCCTCGAACCACTCCTGAGCTGGCCAGAACAGACCAGTCCCCATCGGAGAGACCTCCTCCAGGTTCAGCAGACAGCGATGATGCTGACGAATTCGCACCAAAAAGGAAACAGCGAAGATATAGAACAACTTTCACGAGTTTTCAACTGGAAGAGTTGGAGAAGGCCTTCTCCCGAACACATTATCCTGATGTATTTACTAGGTAATAAATAGAGATATTTAATTAATTAATGAATAATTACCCTTTATTGCACTAAAAACAAACATAAGTATAAAACAATAATAATATACATGCAAATGGCGGCCTTATTGCTAAGTTAGTAATTTCTAGCAGGTTACCTTTGGCTAATGGAATCTATACCAACTCATCGTGAGTAAAGATGAACTCGCTTGATTTCATACATTTTTAATCACAGAAAAAAAACAAATGCAGTTATAAAAAAAAATGTCTTGTGATCAAAATAATATTTTTTATCGAGCCAATTATTAAAATTTATGTTTCTGTTTTTAATAAGCCATCGATCATACGTTTAATTCTCATAAAAATATTTTTATTTGGCAAATATTAGCATAGCCTTAGAATAAAATTGGTTTAAAAAGTGGTAATCTCGCCTTAAAATCCTACTCATTTGTATCAAATCTACTGGCATTATTTTCAAAGCTTGTTATAGTTAAACATTTAGAAAACTTTATACATTGACCCGTGGTACAAATAATAAAGACCAAGGAGAAATGATTGAATTTTTTTCAGGTTCGGTGGGATTACGTTACAACGTTTGTATAAAAGTAATTATTATAAAACTGCGTTGCTTTGATATTATTACCCAATATTTAAAGCTATTTGGTAAATTAAACACAAACTAATAACGAATTACCCTCCAATCCGCATTGGGCCAGCGTGGAGGGTCATGGTCCATCCTCCTTAACCATCCACAAGGAAGGCCTGAGCCCCTGCAGTGGGGACGTAAAAGGGCTGGTGATGATGATGAAATAACGGATTAAGATAATACTACGATTCTGACCACAGAACAGACAAAAGAGTAGAAGTGACATCCTGGTAGTTTTGTATGAAAACTGCTGTAACCAAATTTATTTTAATAAATTTATAAATAATTTGTTTAAGTTAGCTTTTTTAAATCATCTTAATCGAAAATTTAATATTATATTTCTCGCAAAAATTTTCTTGCGAAAAGTACAAGACAAGACAAGTGCTTGAAAAATTCGTCAGACTGGTTAGATCCTAGGAAGCTCAGTGGTCAGTGCAGTTGCTAGGATTACGAAAGGTAGTGAGTTTGAGTCCCATCCCAGAGTGCCAGAGACAATGTGGATTTTTTAAGCATTTTTCGTGAAAAATGTTTTTCAACAAAGCGAAACTTGTAAATTTTCACATTTTTTTTATAAAGGGTTATTTAAATTAAAATAAATAATGATTACTAATCGTTTAATGCTAAAACTAATGCGAAACCCTGTATGGTCGAATAGGATTTGTACTTGACTACTTTATTATTATATTGTTTACAAAATTCAAAGATTACATACACACATTATATCTATTCGTAATATTTATATAATTAAGTATAATGATTCCATATACGCCATGTAATTTAATATATGTAATAATTCTTTATCGGAAATTATAAAATTGATATAATGATAAAGATAACGCATTTAATTATATACACATTCTTAATTGATATTGATCGTTTCTTTGTATTTTAATAATAATGGAATATTATTGATATTGTTACAGAGAAGAACTGGCAATGAAAATCGGTCTCACGGAAGCTAGAATACAGGTATTATTTCAAATAAAATTTGGTTCTTATACACTGTGTAACATTATAACGCACATCCTTAAATTAGTTTGTACACAAGAAGTATATTGTATAGATTTCAGTAATTTTTAATACTAGTATGTTTTTTTCCGCGTTTTATAGAGGCAATTATGGTTATCTATAAGTTAACAGTCGCGTAAAGGAAACTTCAGCTTATGAAGACAAATACAGAATAACAAAGAAGAATAAGCTATATCACTCGTGTATTGTCTAATTGAGGTGTATTAAAAGGATATACGTTATTTATATTACATGTAACGATTTTGATATTTATCGTCTTAAGGCTCAAATTATCCATTGCTCTTTATCTGAAAACCATATCTTGACACACTATGAAAATAACTCCACAATTTTTTTAGTTTTTTTTTTTATTATAATGATTTAAACATATCTGGCACCGCCCAATGATGTATTAAAAAGTTTAGATGAGTTGTCTGCGCACAACATTGACAGCAAGAAAGCAAGGCAATTGCCCGAGTTTCACTTTAATCATGTTTCAACAAGCGTTATGGCTAATGTAATTTAAAATCGTAATTTTCTGTGAAACTTTGAAGAAAAAATTCCACTCTGCGTGTTTAAACAATGAACGAATTACACATTGACAGTGAGAAAAAAAATATAAACCATTTCATGCGTAAGTACTGTACTTACTCTTTTTTATTTTAATAAAAATAATAAAACGTCCTTGAACGCGGCCATATTTTCGTGAATCGTAATTTATGAAGATGCAGCAGTTGACATATAAAGCTATGCAAGTATCTTTATCTCGTTCAAACAAAAGATATGCTGAAGATACTGCTATGGAGATTTTTTTTTCTTCGCGCCCTTTGTTTTTGTATTATAATATTACGCTACCAAAATAAAGTTCGCTGTTACGCTACCACAATGCAATAATGTACGGGTATGACGTGACGGAATAAAACTTCATTGGCTCTGCCACGATGCACAGCTAATACGAAAAAATCTGTCTTCTTTTTTTAAATTTAGAACATTAGCTCTCCAGTGCTATTCTGTGTTGATTGAACTCCTTAGTCTTATGTGAACACGGAACCTGTAAAGGGTCCGAAACGTCAATGAAACTAAATACAAATGCGATGAAACCGTTTGAAAGTTGTTTCATTTAGAGACAAAAGTAAAAAATAAAACTAAAAGAAGATTTTTAAAAACAAGCTTTTATTTGTGCACACTAAAAATAAATGCAAAACAAGTTCATAACGTTAATATTACAGTACTTATAATCAAAATTTTCTCTAACAGTTATTGAATTTGAAAAGCTTGTAGCGCTAATGAAATCGGAGACGAGGTAATACTCATATCTTTCGCGCTACAAACTTTTCAAAGTCAATTACAGTTAGAGAAAATTTAGATTATAAGGACTTTAACAATAAATGTTGAACGAAGGTACTTTAACGAATGAAATATATTAAAACAAAACCTAGTCGTCCTGTGTCATCAGCGTTCAACAATCGCCGGCCGAATCGAAAGCCATATTGGAAATACCAGAATTACATTCAACGATCACTGTAATAAGCCACATGCGCCATTAACAAAATCGTACTGAGCTCGGAGATACGGCAAAATTTGATTTATATCAAACAAAAAAATTTTACATAAAAATATATTGAATATTATTTTTATGATTATCAAAAAAATATATAATAGACGTGTATTTCATCGAATCTGTTTTATGAAAGTTATATCTCAATTTAAAAATAAGGATTGCTGTTGATTTTGCTTGTATCAAATTAATGAAGATCTTTTCTTCACAATATTGCAATAATTAATACAATCAAGTCAATATCATTTATTTAAACAACAATTTAAACAAAAACAACATCGATAAACAAATATATCGATTAGTAAAATTTATCCACCTTGTCCTCAGAATAACCAGCAAGAAATTGATCGCTTTGTTATCAATATCAAGCATATTTATTTGTTTTCAATTTAAATATGCCATTATAAAAATGAAATCAAATTAATATTTTCGACTAAGATGTTGGTTGTTTGTCAATATACAAATACAACAAAAATTAATTGCCATTAAATATATTATTTCAATATACAAATTTCGTCAACAATGATACCATACCGCATCCACACTTTTTATGTTCCGTAAACAAAGGATCTTTTAATAACATAGATCAACGGTATCGGACCACGCTCAGTCATTTGTAATCGCAACATTTCAACCACAATCGAAGCGATTATTCGAGTACAAATTAATAGTTTCACAATGGAAATATCGGACACATAATTGCGTATTCGAGGCAGGATAATATCACAATTAACTATTTTATTTACAATTCCGGTCAGCATTTTTTTTATTGAAGTAGGATACGCAGATATTTTAAAATACATGACTTATCTCTATTTTTTAAGTGTCTATTAATGAAAGTGGTATCTAATTTTCAATAGGTTAAAATATATATCCTATTTAAAAATATTGACCTAATTATTTCGTCTTTTAGAAATTAATTATTCACATGTACAAAACTTATGCTTTGCAATAAAAAAATCTTATTGCTTTTTTTATACTTAGTACACAATGCGAGTTTATATTCAATTAATATGTTTATGTAATAAATAAAATAACACTTTATCGTTAGAGCGATGCTGTTATCATGTTTTACTTTACATTGGCAATGCTATTATATTATTGTTTATCGTTTAGAAAAAATAATAGCTATATATAAATATATATAGAAAGGATACCTACTTATATGAATGGGTTCGATTTAGTTCGAAGTTTATTAATTACTTTTAGCACATTTAAACAAAACATATATTTTTTTATGTTATTTTATGTCGATCTTCTCAGCGAACTCTTTTATTTAATACTCATATGAAGATATAATACTCCGCCGTATTACATTTAGAATTAAATCATTTTATTATATTCCTAGTTACTTATCAAACTATTGTACAAATATACAAATTTGTACCATTAAAATAAAACTAAACCACCATCTTGGACTAGCCACCATATTAAATTTAAAATACAAACATTATAAAGGCGAGAGTTACTTCTTCATGCAAAAAATGAATTTAATGAAATTTGTAATTCTAAGACTGGATTAACATATAAGGTACTATTTATCCCATTAAACAGTTCCCTAGTGTCATCTTAAGTAAACCTGTACGCAAAATTTCGGTCGGTTAAATACATTATTGAAATTTTAATAAAAAATGTTTAATTACAAAGACGATCTGCTTGTTCTCAGACAGTTTAAACTATATTTCATGTTAACTTTAATAAATACTTTAAAACACTTATTTTCTTAGGTATTTGAAAGTCTAATAAAACTTCACGCTCATATAGTTAGAACGAATTAGTATTCGAGTGAGCACCTTCCTACAACCTTATTTGTGCCCTCATCGTATACAAGTCATCTGTCCTGACATTGTCGATGTCATCGCCTATCCGATGAGTGCAGGTCTTAATTACAAATCAATTATTTCAATCGGTTAACACTGAGGGTGGGCATGTCACAGTAAAAAAAATAAAAAGTAATATTCTCCGAGTTTAAAGAAACAGGCTATGAATCTGAATACGACAGCATACGATATCAAAGTGATCGCAGACTATTTAAAATGTGTTATTCAATTAAAACTCAAGGCATGAGTAATGGCTTCCATTACAATGTAATGACTGCGTTTTTTCAATTGCTTGTTTATTATATGAGAGCATTAGCCATTTTCTTGTATTACTTACAGGTGATATAATCAGATTTTACGCAGTTAAAAATTACGCTGTTCAACTAAGATCATCTATTTTTAAGTTGGTTTGCACGCAACCAAGGGGTCCTTAGAAAAATCATCAACAGCAACTGAATATACAATTATGTATTTATAAATCAGTGAAGTTTCATTTTCACATTAAAAGTTAAATTGAAAAATAATGAACTACGTCTTGTCGAATGAAATAATTTGGCTAAAACGAACGGGTCTGCTATTCGATTCCACGTAGATATTTTTTGTAAAATATCAAACAATGAAAATATATTGGTAGTTTTTCATTTGCTGCCAATTATTTGGTATTTTTTAATGAGCAAGGAGTTTTGATTAAAACTAATTGGTGAATGTAAAGAAGAAGTGAATATAAATATTGTAAAAGACCAATTGTTTTGACAATAGACCTCTTTACAAATTTTTTTGGCCAAAAATTATATGTAAACTCGTATTTAACGATCTTCAATTTTTAATAGTGAATATTATTACATATTTTGTTCACTCTAGAGCCAGGGCCTGATATTGAGCGATTTTATTATAGTTATAATATTCGTGAATTCTGTATGTACTTATGAAGCGTCATCAATAAGTTCTTAAAAACCAGTTGTTCCGAAATTACTGGACCGATTAATTCGAAATGGTTCACTAAAATCGAAATAATCCCTTGATCCAAAAATAATGTGTAAAGGAAATACATAAATGAATTTTAAACATCAGCACCACACATGAATTTTTTTTATAATTTTAATAATGTATATTTCGAATTCATTTAGGACAACGTTTGAAAATTAACCATTTCCCCCCTTATTAGCTAATTTATTGAGTCTTAAATGGTATAAAATAAGTTGAACACATAGTTTATCGGATTTTTTAAAGAACTTTATGAAAATTATATTTGTACGACACCCTCAATGCGTTTAGTCGGTATTCCCGCTGTTCAGCATAGCGAGATGCGTCATTTTAAACCACTCGCGGCAGTTACGTGCATGGTGATTACGATTAACGCACGATTGTGTTAAGCTATTAAGCTCAGCACCTGGAGCCAACCTTTTTACCTTCAGCACAACGCATTCCGCTTACATGTTTGCCTCCAATTACAACATTTATAAACTCGCGGTGTACACCGTATGAAGTCATATTTATAATAGCCATTGTAAGCTCAACAGAACATTCCTTCACGTGCCAAAACCAACCCAAAGTTAGCGTAAGATAGCTCGAAATCAACTGGCAAACGTTAACTGTAAACACAGCGGTATTTCTTGTTTCGCACAGCATCCGTATAAAACCGCATGCGCATTTACAGAATTGCATTTAATTTTTTGTAATACGGCGTTTATCATAAGTGAATTAATTTAAATTGCCATAAAACTTACCGTTTACATTATGGTGCACAGTTTCGTATGGCTTTTTTTGAACATGAATTTTTAATGCTATAAATATTGCATGCTATGATATTGGATCGGAATTGAAAAGTATTTTATTGCCGTCTTCCTACTCTTGTTTAGTTTCACTTTGTAAATATTATTTCTTATGAGAGGAATGCTTGATATATTTTATTTTATAATGTTATCGTTGGTAGCGATCTATGGTTACATAATTTATAAATGTTCTGTGGTAAAATTCAAGGCGTATAATGTTTAAATTTGCAAATTTACACATTGTTGTTATTTCATTTTATTAATGGTGGGAAATGCGTTATGAAAGAAACTACAGTACATCATTCTTAAGCGTTTATAGTAGGTAATTATCATAGTAATTAATGTTATGACTAATGATGACGCAGCAATTTTTATCATAAATTTGTTAATAATATTTTTGTTTGCTTACTTCTTTACTTAAACTCATACCTATAAAATTGAGGAGCTCCCGACTTCCCACAGGTGCATTTTACATGTAGTAATCGAATCGGTTATTATGATATCTTTAGTACTTGCTATTGAACTTTATTTTGTAATACACAGAGCTACAAGTTAAATAAAAGTTCTGCTTTATTAGCCTATTATGGCGGCATTAGTAGCAAAATATCCAAATTCAACTAATTTTACAAATGGGACAGTTTGTGAAGAAGGATTGTATAAATTTTTATTGCTCTCTCACTCAAATATGGTATACGGACAATTCTAAGCTTGAAATAACATATGGGCTACTTTTATCCTTTTATGAGATTTATTTTGCCTATTGTGGATTTACAAAGGAAGCGTACATATAGATTGATATACTGTCCAAAAGATACTTTTTGGAGACTACCACACTAAAAGGACTAAATCAATATAACAGCCCCTTAATATTGAATACTAATAATACCTTAGTAAGAAAACTAAAATCTTAATCTATTTTTCAGGTGTGGTTCCAAAATCGTCGTGCGAAGTGGCGTAAACAGGAGAAGGTCGGTCCCCAGGGTCACCCCTACAACCCGTACCTCGGGGGCGGAGCACCCCCGCCGTCCGTCGTCGCCTCTATGCCCAACCCCTTCACGCAGCTCGGTTTCGGATTCCGAAAGCCGTTTGACACAAACGCCTTAGCCTCATTTAGGTAATTTCTATACTACTCTTAACTATCGTCAAAAAGAATGGTATCATCAAATTCGACTAAATATTATTGTATAAGTATTGTTCTATATTCTACTATATCTTCTATGATTATGGACCGATTTTGAAATATTTTTTATTTGATAGTAAATACTCTCCATCTCATTCGATAAATAAAATTAGGACGAGAAGTCATTTTGTATATTTGAATATTACTAACAAAATTATATTTAATAGCTAAAAGGTGATTAAATTTCAAGAAATTTATTTTGTTGTCAGGATTACTTAATATTAGTATGCTTATCAAACCTATCTTGATCAAAGTTTCCTGAATTAAATAAAAAACTCACTAGTCACAAACCATTATTTTTAGACTTTCAAAGCAATTTAAGATTAAATTATTCTATTAAAAAAGTCTATAATTCTATAAAGAAGAACCAGATATATACATATTATGAAAAACATGGGTCTTGCCACCTGAGAGACTGTGCGAGACTTGTTTTACGAAGTCCCAATATTCCATCCTATTTAAAATAATATTATACGTAATATTGCTTTGTAGTTGCCAATATCCTTGAAATATAAACTTGTTATTATGAAAATCTCAATGACTTTCATAGAAGTCAAACTAATAAAATATAATTTTGTTACTAGTAAACTTAATTGCGAAAAATCTGAAATTTTTGATATAAAACAATTTCGTCAAACAACTTTGAATCGGTTTTTTAAAGTATGTAAATTATTTTTAAGTTGACTATAATCGAGAATCCGATATGTCCTTAAATTCAAATCTTTTCAAATATTTAAAATCGTTAAAAACTTACTTTTTTATTAAAAATTGCGCGTTAAAATATAAGTAGCATGAAACATAATTCTCAAAGCTTAATATTTTTTCTCAGGTACACTGGTGGACCAGTTCTAGGTGCCCAGTACTTAGGAGCACCTTTGCATCGTCCACCTCTCTTTTCCGCACCTCTCTACACCAGCTCTCCCCCCTTCCATTCTTTACTGGCGGGTCTCGCAGCACCACCTCGACAATCCCCAGACCCACCTTCCGTATCCCCTCCTATATCCCCCGGAAGTGAGTCACCCCCCAACCAACCTGCGGCACCTGAAGTTGAAAGAAGAAGCTCTAGTATTGCCGCACTAAGAATGGCGGCGAGAGAACACGAACTGAGATTAGAGATTTTGAGACAACGACACCATACAGACTTGATCAGCTGAGCTCCGTTGCATTTTGAAATGCATCAGAATAATTTCATTCGATTCCGCTTTCTTATTCACAAACAACTTTCACTAATATAAAAACAAGCTATTTTTTAACATTATCCGTGTTAAAAGCAAAAGAAAAGGAAGCAGCAAGCAAGCATGTTAAAATCATAACAAGTATATATCGAATAATATAACAGTTACTATATTTGTGAATAAGAGAACAGAATTGCGGAGGCATATCAGTCTTGCCGTGTAAGATAATAAAATAGTAATTAGAACATTTTGTAAAGTAAAAAATTTGGTAGAATTTTAAGATGGCAACAATTAATTAAAACCGAAGATAAGGTCGACTTATCGATATATTAAAATTGTATTTGATAAAAAATAAGAAAATCAGTTTCTTAGACTTCAAATATTTTGTTGACATAAACATATAACTATTTTTAACGAAATTCTAACGGTTATTTAGTTCCAAAACTAGCAATTAACACCAAAATAACAGTATAATTTTGTGTAATTTAAGTGACATATCTCTCTTGAAAAGTAATGATGTCGCAGATGTCACCTTATTCTTTGGATAGATCGAGCTTCTCATATTATATTTATTAGAGATGGAAGAATACGTTAGCAAATGTTGTGAAATAATACGTTGCTTCTGTAATCTCACATTTGGCTATTGATTAGGTACATACATATGGTAATGGAGAATGGGATTATGATCCTGAATCAACAAGATAACATTACATAGATAGAAGCGTAATAGAATGCAATGTTGCCACTTAAAATACTACCATAAAGTAGAATATAGTAGTTTTACTGATCCGTCCAGATATAGACCGTGTTGTTATTTATTGTAGCTTTAAGTCTGTACTTAATAGTTTATAAATAAGGTTTTTTATTAAACTAAGTTGATGAATTCTCTTGAATTGTAATGAAATTCTTTGTGCCTCTGTGGTGCCTTTCCTATAAAAACGTGACCTATTTGAAGTAATAAAAACGTATTTTATAATTATAATATTAAGAAAACATAGTAAATTAATGTGAAACTTGTTTAAAATGTTACGATTGCTCTCTTTACTGCTGCGTTAATGCACTTCTTATTGTTCTGTTAAAAAATCATACGGATATTTATTTTCAATAAAATGACAATATAAAACTAAAAAACAGAAACATTGTCATTCTTATTCATTATAAATTTTATTTATAAAACAAATAACTGTCATGAAAATAAATTCCAATCATTCAGCCTTATCGTTAGCAAAACTGTATAAATGAAGAATAATGTGCAATAAATAGGTTTGTTGGTTGAAAGTAAATGTAAATTATTAAAATTTTATATACATACTTTTTATTATCAATGTAGTCCAATGTTGATCATTTACTATTTATTAAATAATTGTTTTTCAAAGAAAACATTTCTGAAGTTTCAAATATAAAATAAAATTACATGTTGTACTAAATACAAATTGGTGTACTTATCAAATTCCTTTGCATCACAAAATAATAAACTAAAGGACCAAAGAAAATTATTGATTATGGAAATTTAAATTTAATTGAGACTACACCAAAAATTTTCCTGAAACAATAATATTCACAGCGATCAAAAAATCAAATTTTTCATATTCCAATAAAATGGTTTAATTATATTATGACGTTTCATTTCAATCCCTTATAATTCCACAAAAAAAAAATTCTTTAAACTAGAAAAGGCTAGATTCCGCGACTTTGCTCACCTAATTTATAGCCTATATCACCCCGTACAATGTAGTTTCCCGTTACAAAGCCTATTCAATGCAAACAAACATACCAATGAACAAACAAACCATTTTTCTTTATAATATTATATAATAGTAGACCTTTGGTATAAAAAATCCTACCGAAACATTTCCATATAAAATGATGCCAAGACGACATCATATGGTTCGCACTGTCAAAAAGTTTTCAGATCTCGTATAGAGCCAAGCTTCTAGCTCTACATGCTCTATCTCTACAAGCCTTAACTTTACAAATTCTACAACCTAGTCAAAACATGTGATGTTTGTGAAGTGTAACGATTGTAACCAGTATTACCAACCGTACCCTGTTTTGACAGTTGATTTGCTGTTTTTACATTGATGTTCCTGTTTTCTATTTTATTCCTAATTTTTACTGCTTTTCAATTAGCGTTCAGTGACACCACTTGCAAATATAATCCGAAATTAACAAACAAACAACATACAAAAGCACATGAAGATATTCAACAAAAGCTATGTTTCTTTTAAAAAAGAAAAATGAATCAGAAAATACGGAAGATAAGGTAGGTAATTGAGGATGAAAGTGGAAAATAATTAAGTTTTTTATTTTGTGATCAATATTACAATATATCAATGAATGTAAATGAAAGTATGTGATTTTAATTTTAATTATATGTGTACAGTATGGAATATGCCTTTTTTTACTTAACTCCTATTTTATCCTAAATTATAATTGGTAAGCTGACGTTTTCTAGTTTCTTAGGGCTGGCAGCACTGACTGTACTCGACATATCGATATTTTTATTGAACCCTGCACCTCGTAGGTCTACATTGCGGAACTTAAGCTACTTTCCCAAGGTATGATCATAGAATGGCAGACCAAAAAGTTTGCAGCTGCACTTGCAGTCGTTGACACCACTAATTGGACCTGCGTGATGGGTTGTAACTCTTTCTCCTTGTTCGTTAAAATTAAAAAAAAATACAAAAAATATTACAAAAAAAAGCGAAAGTCAATCATAGTCATATGAAATACAATAGGTTCATATTATAATAAAAGCATTCATACAAATAATATTTTTTATTCGTTAAAATTTAAGTTAATGGCATTTAAACTTAATTATATTATTAATATTTTAATATCGTTTTGCGTTTTGGTAATTTATTATAAAGTTAGTTAGCTTCGATATTCACGGCGCATCCCTTGTAGGGTAGGCAAAAAGGACCAAACGCCACAACGACCTTACATACATCTTTCGCTTTGTCCAGTATCATTACTCTTTTCATACATAGGTTTACAACACGTGATTGATTTGATCGTGAAATATATGTAGTGGCCTGCCTCGGCTTCTGCATCCTACTACTTTCGTCTGTATATCAGTTTTGTCATACTTTCTACATGTCCGAACCGTCGGAGCATGTTTCTGTTAATTTGTACAACGCTGTCTTTCGATTCAACTTTTATGGAGGCAATCCCAAAACTTTTCAGCTATAATAAATAAACACAACAGATAACATCTCTCGTATTCAATACACTCTTCGCGGGACTAAACGTTTAACGTTATTAAAGAAACCAATGAGATATAATAAGATTCGGCTTTCAACAATCGACAGATATTAATCACGAGGTTATTACACGTCATAAGTTAAGAATATGGCAGCTCGCCGACGGCAGCAGTCCATCCATCAAGGTCCACCGAAACAATACTCCGTGTTCATCAATTACATCTTCTTATCTAATTAAAATGTAATTCAATAAGTACGTAAGAACATCCGTTTGTATCGAGATATGGTTAACGATCATTTCTTGCAATTTCATTAGTAAGACGCAGTATTATATTTCACTAGCAGTTCTCCCGCGACTTTGCTAGAGTAGGTAAATAGGAATGATGACTAATTTTTGTTTGTTTGTCCGTCAAGTAGAGTGTTAAAAAATATTAAACACGTATTTTTTTATTTTTTTCGTAATCATAAAATTACGGCGTTACATTGAGTTCAAATTTCGCATGACGTCACGTTAGAGTACGTTTTCTACTCAACTGTGACGTAGCGAGCCCCCACTCCTCAACTTGAATGCCTGTTATCTAAGCTATTTCTTGTTAAATTGAAGTAAAAAAAAATACGTATCATTTTTTTTACCCAGTCATCATCCCTATTACATAGTATATCACCCGCGTATGTGCCCGCGTATAATTTAAAGAACTTTTAAAATCGGTCTGGTACACAGAACATAGAGAGACTATGTTCTGTGGTCTGGTAGTTTTGAAACTCATTGCAAACAAACAATCAAATTTTACCTGCTCGTTATTTAAGCTTACTTATAATATTTAAAAAGACGTGGATATACATAAACTAAATACTACTCGTACAAATTAACATGACACCTGAAGGCTTATTCTTTTTCTCGGAAAACGAAATGTAGTATATTTTCGAAATGCTAATACGATTTATGACGCACGGAAGTAGGACTTCGAGGTACAGATAATCTTTACAGATATTATAAGAACGCTTCGATATTTTTCGAATTTACGTTCTTAAATAAATAAATGCCTTCAGGTAACATGTTAACTCTTCCTTGTTTATGTAAATAAATTTTACATTATTTCAAATTTCCATGACGCAAGCTTTATTTTAATTTAATGTTAATTTGAATTGTGTCCATCGAAATCATTAAAAAAGGATCATAGCTCATTAAAAAAGAAATCTCTGAGTCAAATTCTAACCACTTAGATACTGGGATATTCCCTCTCATAACCCGTCAATGCCTTCTTATGCGAAGTTTATTAGAAGCAATATCTTATCAAAACTAAGGAGCGCATTAACCAGACTAATGGATGTTTATTTTTTATACACGCAACTATCAGATGATAGTAGGATTAAATTTTCAAATGTAAGCATCATCACACGATTCGATTGTTGATTTTAAAACAATCGGTCATCTCTAACGTCCCAAATGCGTGGGCCAGCTGATTGGATTTATGATTTGGTAATAGCCATTAATCTAAAATTCAATTATAAACCGATGATTATACATCTGATGATATAAAAAGAAGGCGTGACTCACGATCGGTAGTCGTTAGTTTGCTCTTGTAGATTTTGTTAGTACATGCTATCAAACAGTTATTTATTTTCAAGAACTTTGATCTTTTATGTATAAAATGAATTGGAATTGAAATTGAAATCACAGTGAAGAGAAAAATATGACATAACAGTTATATTTATGAATAATCTATACATTTATATTTTGAAGAGATTTTTTTACACGAACCGAAAACCGATTCAAAATATTCTTTCATCTACGGAAAGCAGCACCATATGCAGGTAATATAGGCTATAAATAACGCGGACGATGTCACGGAAAATATACTTATTGATTATATAAAAATATATAATGTGACAGTGTTTTAAGTTCTGGTGAGTTTCTAGCGCTCATCTTTTGATAAGCCAAAATTGTTTTATTTAAATAAAGAATATATTCGTAAAGAAAAATATACTCTACTTAAATAATCGATTTTTGACCTTTACCTTTAAGGGTTGTTATAGGGTTTATGTCAATCGGATTGATTTGTTAAAATAAATCGTTAAGATCTTAAAACTTAAATACTTAGTGCTCAAAAACATTGGGACGAGCCGCTCTGTAAATTGGTACGGAATAATCTATTAAACACGTC